AAGCTGTATACATGATTTGGTGATATTCTGTAGCTTTATGATAGCGATAGTTGTTTTACAAATTTCACAAATACAGTATTCTGAAGGAAGTCTCTTTTTTTTCAAATGCAAAAAATCATTTGACAAAATATGATTAAACACACCAACGCGAACTGTTTGCGCAGAAGATATATGCTGTGGCGGGAAACTTTCGTTAAATCCCGATGTAATGGGCATGTGCAGTAAATATAAAAGTAAAAGCAGAAGATATTCTCAAACTGCATAAAGCAAAAACATTAGCCGTTTAGGTAATTGACGATTCTACAGTTTTTTTGCTTTGGTCTCTTCAGTGCTTTGAAAACAACAGAATACTTGCTTAGACCAATGATGAATTTACCAGCTTTGTATTGCCTATTTATTTTTAAAACGCGAAAACCTTTATTGTAATCTATTTATTTTCAAAGACGAAAAATCTTGCTGTTATGCTGCTAAATCAAGTTTAGAGTTAGCTATACATAAGACGATCTACAAGTGATGTTCATTTGAATTAACAAATAAAACTACCTGATAACAAATGAAAATAATGTGCTTAGGTGCAGTAGTAGAAGTAAGGAAATTTTAAATCGACTGGATAAATTTTCAAATTTCCTCGAAAAGCAAAAGTGTGATTTTGATCAGTTTTCTGATAACACAAATGTTAAAAACTACATCAAATTGGCAAACAGAAATAAGAGAAGGAAAAGTAAGCAGATTTAGCCATGGATGTTTTTTATTGTCTAAAATAATGTATATTTTGCAATTTAAAAATTAGTATGAATACCATAAAAACAAAACAGCGCTCTCTCAGTTTGTTTAAATCAAAAAAGCACAGTCAGCTAGTAGACAATAATAAAAGGGCTTTTTTTTCTAAAAGAACAGAATGTGCACTGAAACAAGTGAAATCAGGTACGTGTACTACAATATATCCAAGCTGAAATGCGAAAGGCCTGGTTCTTATAATATATCTGAATTCGTGAATTCTCTAAATGAACAGGGAATTTCTTCTTTAACCCTTTACGGCACGCTACCTTTTAAAGTTGGAATTTTGATAAAAAAAAAATAAGGTAGGCAGTCTAATTAGGCCTAGAGTACACAAGTAAAATTTTGTGAAGATAGCACTTATTGCTTTATTCTATGGGTGTACCCAAAGTGGGCGCACTGATTCAATAGAGCTTCAAAAAGAGTGCTGAAACGAGCATTGTTGTGAATGAACTGACCGATGAGATGCGGAGAAACAAAGAATACAGACTCTCAGTTGTCCTAAATTATCGGTGTGCCGGTCTGGGTACACCTAGGGTTCGCCGTTTGATTTTAGGCAAGATTTCAAGGTAAAAATTTAAAACTAATATAGAATAAGGAGATTAGCATACAGCCAAAAAATAACATAGAAATTTCTTTTCAAACAATTCCTTTTATACCCTAAAATAAATCTGGAAGATTTCTTTGAAAAATGAGGGTCTTAAAAAACTAAACATGGCTAAATTATATAGACTGGTTGCGGCGAGCTGCTATCTATTATAAATAAAGAAGGTTCAGAGTAACCTATAAATCCTTTTCATTCAATTTTTCTGTGCGTACAGAAGGGAAATTTTAGGTGTGTCCGGTTCAGTACTATGAAGTATTTGAACTAATTAATCTTTATTCAAGTACTCCTGACTGTTCTTCTTAAGGTAGAAAATGAACTTAATTAACTTAATTGAACGAATTAGTGCTAGGTATATACACCAGCAATATTTAAAACCTTATAAGTGAAACGTTTATTTCATAATTCTGACAAGATCAGAATTAATTGTGTCAGTTAAATGAAATGTTTCATCATTGAGATAAATGAACAGTTGAATAATGTAATTGTCTAATAAATTATGTATGGACGAATACTATGATGCTGTCTTTATACACCAAGCAAAACTGAAATGTGATTACGATATAAGCTATTTAATAATCTTAGTTTTAAAATTTTATAAAGATTTCAACTTGAGTCCTCAAAACTGGTGAATTTTAAGCTTTTTTCGTTATTTTATATGCTACGCAATATTCAACAAAATTAGCAAATAACATTCTTATAAATACATACACGCAATATTTACATCTACTTGTTAATATAATTTTTAAAAAATCAGTATTAAGCACCATGCTATTTGTGGAAATTCAGGATACGTCATTGGAAAGCAGCTTTGAAAATGGCGCCACGGACTTCGCTTTGTTTAGTCGATTTACCTTAATTTACATTACGTATAACAGGCATGCATTTGAAACGTGCACATTTAAGTCTCGGTTTTGCTTTTAACACTTTGCATCTTAAGAGTGAAAATACTTAATAGCACTTATGGTATTTACGTGCTAACTCACCTTCAAGCTGCTTTCAATCTACGGACTCTATGTTTAAGTATTACTATTGTTAAAGTCTTAGTAACATTCAATATTGATAAAAATTCTGAGGACTTATGATTGACAGCAAATAACAAAATCGTTACTTAGTGCGAATTGATCCTGCCGAATTCTACGTTTCTATTTGTTCTTATTGTATTGAAATATCTTTTTAATAATCTTTAAAAATAATTTTATATACATCGAAATATTTTAATCAAAGACTGAAAAGCCAAATGAAAAAAATATTTTTCGGCAAAAGTCTTCAATTATAGACAATAATGGATGGTAATAAAAGTGATAAAAACGCTACAGTTCCAATTTTTGATTACTTTTCCAATAGTTAATAGTAAATCGATATGAAAGTTTATTCTTAAATCAATGCTAGCAGCCGTTATGTCTAATCATTTTAAAAAGAAACTCTAAAATAGTGCAGAGCCACAGAATCATTAAAGGACACTAATACCTTTTCTGTGATTCTCATGCAAAGAACAGAACAACAAAGCGTAAATCTATTAATAAATTTAGAAATCTAAAATATCGCTCTAATGCCGCCGGGAATATAAAATAATGATTTTCCATAAAAGAAAGTTAGTGCTGTTTTGTGATAAAAAACAATCTCGTTTTATAAAAAGATTAGTTATATAAAGAAGGGAAAAGACAAAATATTTCGAAATGCCAATCTTTAGAAGTAAATTGACGTCCGCAAAGTAGTTAATTATTTTACCTCAGTTTTTTACGATTTTGTTATGAAATTATTATAATAACTGAAGTATAACAACATGTATTTCTCCATCAGAATGAACTAGGAAGGAAAGAAGTGAAAGTGTTTAGACATAATTCTGGTAGTGTTAGTGTTTGTTGTACGAATGTAAGGACAGTTGATAGAAGTACTAACGTATGCAAATCTGTAGCCAAATGAAAAAAACTAGCGACCGATGTACTACTTATAGTTTGGAAAACAAAGATCTCATATGATATGGCCTGGTAATATTTTTAATTTTGTTTTGAATAATGACTTCAGCAAAATAAACTGTGTTTTCTAAGAAAGAAAATTTTATATCGGAGATACATACTGTAAAACTTGCTTAACGATCAACTAATTCTCGCGGTATATCGAGCTTTGCACTATCAGAAAATAGTCATTTTACGTCCAATATATTTAAATTTGTACATTAGAAAGTGTATTAGTTGTGATCTTAAGTCTCGAAATTTTCACTTACTATAAAAACGATTCATATCTTCTAAAATACGATAAATAAAAATGTATCCATGAGGTGATTTTGTACATTTTGTTTTAATAACCCGTTACAACTTCACGACGCTGCAGTGATTTAATTTTGCCTTTTGAGGTCATATGCCATTATTTAAAAACTATAGGCATTGCAAAGATAACGTCACATACTTTGGTGCTTCGCCGGGATAATTTTCTTATGTTCAAAAGCATAGAAAAATTACATAGGCAATTTTTATTCCTCTTAAAATTATATAGGCAATTTTTATTCTCTAAACATAGGAAATTTTTATTCCTCTTTCCTCTTTTGTAGCCAAAAAAGTATAAAATATATATAAAAACCCAGGTTTTTCTAAATATACACGAATTTAATAAGATAAGCTAAAAAGCATTTTGTACGGCTACCACAAAGGTTTCGTTTATATATGATTATACATAACGGGCTTGTCCGTAAACGAATTGCTTCAGAACAGTAACAAAATTTCAGGTAACATCAAAAGTTAATAAATAGAAATGCTCATATATATATGACCGGAAAAGCTGTTGCGTAGATGACTGGAAATTGCGACGTAGTGGAATAACCCGATGAAATTTTAGAAGATGCACGATCAGCTTGATAGTTAAGCATAATTTATTTTTGGATGACGAATTTCTTGGCAAATATATTTTTAACTGGGAAAAGACTAGGGGTGCTAAACGTGCCCAATAAATAATGCACAATGATGCATAAAATGCATAAATGTGCATAAATAATGCATAATGCAATTACATTTTAAATAATTGCGAATGGCAGAGCGACACGCTGTCAGCAGGCAAGCAAAGACGCGAAAGAGAGAGAAACCACGCTATAGGTGCATAAGTACAGCTAATCTGTAATTGGTTAATCTTAGTTTTAGTTACCTTCTTGAAGCAGCGTTATGTAAGACGGAAAGATCTCGAATTTGGGAGATTAAATGAAATGAATTTAAGGAGAGAACATAAAATCTGGAATCGTTAATTTTGAGGTTGCGAATTATTCTCAAAGCAGCTATTGTATTGCGTTAAATCTTACACGCATATATATATATATATACAGGGTGTCCTATAAGTCTATAAATATTTTAAAAATTGAAGGAATTGGTAAAATTGGATTCAGTTTGTGAAAAGGTATACGTACACTTTAATTAATTACTGTATGTTGAAAATGGGAGAAAAAAACTATTTTTAAAGAAAAATAAGTTTTCATTAATTAAAATGAATAGCAACAATTTTACGGACATGTTGTATAGCGTAATGTAAAGTACTAGAAGTGCTGAAAATCATTGCTTGCTGAACATCTAGGTCAAAGTAAGCTGTTTGACCAGGCAGCTAATTTGCGCATTCGCTTAACAATGAGAATTACCTGTCGTCACACTCGAGCTGACGCCATTCACTTCGACGCAGTTTCAAGGCGGGTCCCGTGTCTGTTTCAACTTTGACATTAAAGTTATCTTCTTCTTCGAGATTTTCTTCTCTCATACTTTCAATACGTTGATCATCATTTAGAATTTGAAACCAGGGTCTGACGAATCACTCACCATCCATTTTGCTGCATCCTCAGCACTAACTTCTGAGCATCCAGGAATTTCAAAAAGAATATTTCTTAATTCCTCAAGTGACCCGTCATCTTCATCTTCTCCTGTCTCTTCCCTTTCCTTTTATTGAGCTTCTTTTTTCTCCTTTTCCTTCTGTCCTTCAGTTGATTCTGAAAAAAATCTGAAATTCTGAAAGCGGTTCGGATAGTCGGAGTTCGGATAACTGGAGTTGAACTGAACATATATATATATATATTATGTATACTGATGATGTTAAACTTAGTAACATTTATTAAGAAATACGCATAATTTTTACATCGGACAGTTTGCCATCAGCCATGTACTGTGGTAATTTGAAATATAAATTATAACTGCTATTTGTGGTATGGCAGCATTTAGTAAAACTGGAAATTAGTGTGGCTATGAGTAGTTAAACATCCTAACGCCGAAATGGTAGTATAATACAAAACAACTCAGGATAGATGCTCTTATAGTGTAATCAAAGGACAGAGTACGTTGAGGAAAAATATTTGTCACATTCGATTTCATTTCAAAGGAATTATGACCATCCATCGGTGTGTCGTCAACCACACATGGAGGGTCAAAAATATGATTAAATTGTTCAATCGGAATGCACGTATTTTCACAATCATGACCTTTCCTTTCGCGATGATGGAAAATTTCTCGCAAGTTAACACCAAGAAAGTGCAAACAATGGGCAGCCTAAAGCGCAGAATAGATAAACGGAAACGTCACCCCTACGCATTTGGCAAGTTGTCACTTCCGCGAAAAGAATGAAAAAGAATTCTCCGATGCGTTAAATTTAAGACAGTCGCAAATTTTCCGAAGTCTGTCACAATCTCGACCCAATTCCCTTCACCTTAAAAATATAGTTTCGGAAATAAAAGTAGAATTTGGTGTATGCCAGTAAAAGCTTTTTGTCTTAATGAGCCGAAAGTTCAAGAATAGCAAAAATTTCCCAAAGCTGGTAAAGAGTTTTTACTTTCAAAAATACCTTCAAGATTTAATTTGTATATCAGTTCACTGATAGACGCAAAGTTTAAGTTTAAGTAAGGTTTAAGGATTAAGTTTTAAATATGAATTTTCCCTCAATTTGATAGTGAAAACGACGATCCCGAATCTACCAAAAGTAATTCAAATGTTAATCATCGCTCCCAGTTACTAAGAACTGAGATACTGTTGAAAATAACATTACGTATATTTGTTGCGATTGATTGTAAGATTTCGATATCGCATAAAATTCGGCGAAATAACAAAAATAAGAACTAATGAAACATAACAAAACTTTTTTAAAAAATCGGAAAGGTTTCAGATTTTAAATGACGTCCAAAGGAGAGTTTTTTTAAAGTTTTGTGTGTTACCTTTATTTATTAAATGTCATTTTCTTTGCACGTAAACCATAAAACTCAGTTCAATAGCAATGTTGCAAAATAATTTTAAAATGAGCCTATCTTTAGGATTTCCGATACATAGTTCCGCGCGCTGGAGATAAAATGGTTCCCCCCCTTCCTCCGTAGAGTGTTGCCATTGCTCGCTTTTAAATCGTTGAGTTCGTTACTCAAAAATTCGTTAAAGTTGTACAAAATATGAATTCGATAATAAAACAAATTTCAAATTAAAAATTCGGGCTTCCAAGTGCCCATGTTCGGTTGGAGGCCTACGTTATTCAAAATTTAATGCTCTAGGTACGTTGTTTTTTCACAATGCGATAAACATGCACGCATTCATGCAGATTCTTCATTTTGTAGTTTCTTAAATGTAAATATATGGTGATAATATTTGGTGGCAATAGCCTGAAAATTGAATCGACACAAAATGCAGTTTTGAAATTAATAGCCCTTCTGGGCTAATGACCTTTTTGCTAATAAATAAAATAATAAATAAAGTTAACGCAATAAACGTTAGTAATAAAAGAGATAATAATAATAATACAAAAATCTGAAAGTGTTGAGCCCAAAAAGGTTTGTTAAGGTTTTTTTATACTCTCGCTGAGCTCACAGTCTACAGTCTGCTGTTGCACTCACTCCTGCTTCTTTTTTTCTTTTTATCTTTATTTTTAAGCATTATTTTCTTTGCACTTATGCCATATTCATTACAATAGCAAAATTACAAACACTTTAAAAGCAGCATATGCTTAGAATTCTTGATTCAGTGCTAAAGTGTTAGCATAAATTTTTCTACTTTTTTCCCCAGTTTTTCCTCAGTTCTTCGTATCAAATTTATTTTCTTAGCAAGATGGCTAGCAAAACTTTTTTTTTTCATTTTATGATTAACGTTTTGCGTGTTAAATTTATTAATTAAATATCATGTTCTTCAACAACAAAATCACAAAATGGTTAAAAACATGACATCTTTAAAATATCCGATGACAGACTCTCGCGCTGGAGACAAAAGGGTTTAATTCCGCACAGTGTTGCCACTGCTCGCCTTGAAATCGTTGAGTTTATTAATAAAAAATTCGTTAAAGTTTTACAGAATATGAAATGGACAATAAAACAAATTGAAAATTCGGTCTTCCATGATGCTCACATTCGGGTGGAGGACTAGGATATGCAAAGTTTGATGACTGTAGATGCCGTCGTTTTTTCACCGTGCGAGGAACATATACAAATAGATTATTCATTATTTATTTTCTTTAAAAATTATACAGGGCGTTAATATTTGTTGGCAACAATTTAAAAAGGGATACAACCGTTTATGGTGGACGATGCAAAATCCCGTTTCGAGACTAGTAGCCTCTTCGGGGTAACAGCCGTTTGGGCTGAAAAGATAAATTCTAAGAATCAGTTAGCGCTTTGCTTACAACAGTGGTTTCAAACTGATGGCCAGCGGGCCGCATGCGGCTCCCAAAGCAGTTTTAAGCTCCCCGCAAAAATCAACTATCTAGTATTATTACGAAGGAATTTGAATTAAAAATTTTAACTTTCAATGCTTTGGAGTGTAATTATACATTATTTTTTTATCAAAAAGTAACGTAACTCTCCGGAAAATCTAGAAATGGAGTTAATTAATTTTCAATGTGATATAAATCTAATTCAAAGATTTGCATATAAAAATTTGATGAAATTTATTATTACTTATGAAAGATAAATAATAGATAATATTATGAAAGATAAATCATATTACCTTTCATAATATTATCTGTTATTTATATTTCATAAGTACTAATAAAATTCTTATTATGTTATTCTGTTATTTATCTTTTCATAATATTATCATAAAAGATAATATTATAAAAATATAAATAATAGCTACAATTTTTGGGGAATAAAAGTGTTCTCTTTGTTTATGTGTGCATTTGTATGTGAACAGTGTTTTTGTTCGTAGTTGAAGGTTAATAAGTTTATGAAAAATACCAGAATCTACAATTTGTGATGAAGATACTTTCTAGTAATTTTCCTCCAAGATTACAAGAATGAATATCTAAATATCTTATGAATATCTAAATGCCGTGAGGTGTTGTAGTTGAAAATGTCAATAAGAAACAGAAAATTTTATAGTTATTTACATACGTACAAATATTATTTTTAATGCATCATAGAAAAACGCAATAAATAAAAGAAAGAGGATAGGTTGTCATTATTTATTCTCAAGTTTTGTCCCACCTGGGAAGTTTTCGTATATTTCTTTTTAGTTTAAGTAAGTTACTTATTGGCTACTTCAATACATTACGATAATTTTAATAAATATCAATGTGAAAATTTTAACATTTAACCGTCAATGCATTTGATTTACAAACTGTGATCAACAAAAATTTCTTTCGAATACTAATGTTTATATTTCAGACAGAAAATAAATATAGATTTTAATATTTCCATTGTGATATTTTTATCAGCATCTTTTGACAAATATGTAGTACCAAATTTTTAATTTAGTTTGCAGATTTTTGTTAACATAAATGTTCTTTTTCTTTCTTTTTTCTTTAATTGCTGTCCGTCTTCTTTGGATCGTGCATTTAGCCTACGTGCAATTTGAGTTTGATACCACTGGGGCTTACAGTATATTGCCTTGTATGCTCCAAAGTAAAAGAAAAACTGATTAGTTTCTTACATTATGTCTAAAATAATTATTGCGAAGTTTTAGAAGGACTCATTACGGTACTTACATTACATTACTCATTACGGTAAATTTAAAAATTAAAATTAATTAAATTTCATTTAATTTATGTGTTATTAAAATTTTAAAGTAACTACTCTTTAAATCGCAGAAATTGTTTCCTCTCATATTCAATAGCTAACTAAAACTAAATATTTTCTTGATGTGAAACATTTAATTTTTCATTTCTTTCAATTACAGTAGTACAGCTTAAAAATATTACGATTTATTTGTCTTTCTGACGATAAAAATTTATATTAGCGCTGCAGGCAATTATAGTCTACATACAGAATTCGAAAATGAGCTTAGTTACGGTTATACCTTCAAAGCTTAAATATATTTTGTGCGTTTCGTCCATTTCATTTCTTACTCAAAACAAATAATTTGAAGCAATAAAAAAAATCGCCAAAACCTCAAACCATACTTACACAGTTTTTTTAAGTTTTAAATTATCTAGTTAAATGTTTTAATCGCTCTGATCTTTCATTCTTTTTAATCTAAATCACATCGTTAACTAGGAAGTGTGCGCACGAATTTTGCGAAACGGTAAGAAACACTTCAGGTAAAGTCATACAATGGAACTCCAATTATCTGGTATTATTTGGTTAAGATCATATTAAATTTTACCACAGTCTATTTAGATAATCAGAAAAAGTTAGGATTACTATTGTTATTCTGTTATTTTTTCAGTAGACTTAACACATTTATTGCAATGCAAGTGAGACAGTTTTATGTATGTTAAACTAATGCAAACAAACGCTTGTTTCTTTTTATTATTGATTTTAATCCGCAACACCGCGATGCTCATCTTCCTTTTAAGATCGAGTA